ATCCCGCCCCCTTGACCTGTCCGTCCTCCCTGGACTGACCTATCCCCTCCCTAACTCCCCACCTACACTCACCTTTACTGGCTCCATCCCCGCCTCTTCGACCTGTCTGTTTCCTCTCCACCTATCCTCTCCTCTATCCATCTTCTATCCGCCTCCCACTCTCTCCCTATTTATTTCAGAACCCCCTTCCCCTCCCCCTTTTCTGATGAAGGGTCTAGGCCCGAAACGTCAGCCTCTCTGCTCCTATGATGCTGCTTGGCCTGCTGTGTTCATCCAGCCCTGCACCTTGTTGTCTCGGATTCTCCAGCATCTGCAGTTCCTACTATCTCTGTTCTGAATAGAGTTGCTGCAGCCGAGACGATAACTCTGCTTTGTCCCTAGTTTCTGTATTTGTTCGTTTATTTGACTGGTCTGGAAGGATGGGAGGTTTGAAATGTGAGGTGCCCGGTGTATGTGGGCGGGCTCTGTGAAACAAGTGCAAGTCGATTCGCTGTGAGCAGGAGTGTTTTGAGGTGGAGCTCTGAAGGTTGTGTCCCTGTGCAGGCGGGGCCTCAGTGTTTGCAGACCCACTCACACCGCAGTTCGCGCCTGGGTCCGGCTGCGGGATGCTGCTGCACGTGCGGAACCTGCGGCTCTGCTTTCCCGGAGCGCGCGCCTGGCCCGGCCCGCGACCTCGCCGTTACCACGGGGACAAAGTGGCAACGGTTGGTTCGGAGCCCGACACCAACTCGGACCTTTTCCAGGTAGGCCGCGCCTGCAGCCCCGGGCTCACCCGGAAACGTCAGCCGGAGGGAGGGAAGTCACTGTGGGTAGCACTGAGTGGCACGGGCGGGGGTGATTTGGGGAACGGCTTATTCTGGTACTTGATCGCACGGGGAAGGATGGGCGTGCACCGGTCACCACTAATACGACATTGAGTTTTGGTGGCATTTCTTTTCGTCTGGCTTATGTGTCTGTGACCCCTTCTGAAGTCCTTGAACTTTGCAGCTGTTCTATGTTTACTCGTGCTGCTGGTGCTAATTTGAACTTTTCCTGTCACAGTCTTAGAATCATACAGTGAAGGAGGAGGCCATTCACCCATCGTGCCCGTGCCAGCAGACTGAGTAGCTCAATTGTGCAATTCTTTCCTGGTTCCTCTGGCACTTTTCTCCCCCTTTGTCCAATTCTTCTGTTTTGAATGTTAATATTGAATCTTTATTCTCATCACTTTTCCAAGCACTTTTTCTGTAGTGACAATTTGAAGTTTCTCCCTGCTGTTTGCCGCTTGATTTTCTACCATTGAGTATGGCAGCATTTAAGTTGATCTTGAAAGCTCATGTTGTGCAATTGGTAGTAGAATCATAGAATTGCTACAATATGGGAAGAGGCCATTCAGCTCCTTGATCTGCACCAGCCTATCAAAGAGCATCCCACACACACTCGGCCCCCTACCCTATCCCAGTAATGCCCACACATCCCTGGACACTACGGACAGTTTGGCACGGTCAGTCTGCGTGACCTGCACACCTTTGGACTGCGGTAAGAAACCGGAGTGCCCAATGGAAACCCATGCAGACATGGGCTGAATATGCAAATTCCACACAGTTGCCCAGAGTTGGATTCAAACCCAGGTGCAGTGAGGCAGTGGTGCTGACCACTTTCCATCATGCTGCCCACTGTAGTGTCATTCTTTTGGATTAAGTGGCCTTGTTAGAAAAACAGCTTCTCTTTTTCCACTTGGAGACCCTACAGAACTCAATATCGAGTTCAATAACTTTAAGGCCTGAATACTTCTCCCATGTCCTTACTGCACCCCCATAAAAAAAAGCCTTATCATCACATGGGCTGTTAACCACAAACAACCCACTGTCAGCTCCTAATGGTTCCAGTGAGCAACTTTTAACTTCCTCCAGACTGACCTTTACTTATTCTTTTGTCTGTACAGCTGTTCTTTCTCTGGGCTTTATAGCTACTGATTGTTTACTCCTCTCACCCATCCTCTGCGCATATACCAACCTTTCCCTAGCTACAATCAGTTCTGAAGAAGGTCACTGGACCAGAAAAGTTAACTTTTCTTTTTCTGTCTACAGATGCTGTTAGACCTGCTGAATTTTCCCAGTAATTTCTGGTGTTGTTTAATTTTGAGTCACTGGCTGTGGCAACATTGTAAGGATCCTATTCTGAATCAAAATGTGGTACTTTTGGTTTCTGAATCTTCATCAACAATAAATCATCTTCCTCACAATTCGTTGAATGACCTGATGGTGGTTTGTACAGTAACAGCAGCCCACAATTTGATAATGAAATTGCACAGAAGGTTCAACAAGACAAGGCATTTTTTCAAATCTTTGTGAATGGTTATTCTCCTTCAACCATCTACTTGCCCCATTTGGTGTAAATGTGATCTTTGAATGGCTTTTTAAGGCACACATTCTTAGGTTAGTGACGAATGTAAGATCCTTGCAAATAATTGCAGTTTGGGTGTTGTTTCTTCAAAGGTCTTGTTTGATCTCATCGGTTATATGGCTTCTAAGTCTTTTCCACACTACATTCTTCATTCTTTTACAGAAACTACTGGAATTTCGATAAAACATGTTGAACTGCAGTTTGAGAGGAGGCGATGGCTTAGTGGTATTATCGCTGGACTGTTAATCCCCAGGGACACAGGTTCTAATCCCGCAATGGCAGTTGGTGAAATTTGAATTCAATAAATATCTGGAATTAACAATCTTATGATGACCATGAATCCATTGTCGATTGTTGGGAAAATCCCATTTGGTTTACTGATGTCCTTTAGGGAAGGAAACTGCCATCCTTACCTGGTCTGGCCTACATGTGACTCCAGATCCACAGCAATGTGGTTGACTCTGAACTGCCTGCTGGATAATTAGCAATGGGCAATAAATGCTGCCTGGTCAGCGACGCCCTCATCCCATGAATGAATAAAGAACAAAAAAAGAATTTCACTCCATCTTCATTCATCTAAATGATGTTTGTGAATATGCATAAAAATTCTTGCAGGAAGTTTGATTAAGTTTGCTCAAAAATGAGCTTAAGTTTTAATGTCATTCTGTCTGACATGCAGTCTGTTACCAATCTGAATCTTGTCATGTCCTGTGGTTTTCATTAAAACCTTTTCACTTCACAGTTTGATTGCTGTGTATGTTGAAATTAATGGGTGTTTCATCCATGTTCCAATGTACTATAATGGGTACTCATGTTTTTTGCATGAAGAATTGCTGGAAACTGATAAATTTGATATCAAGGTCTTTTGGTAATCTTTGAGCAATCTTGGTCTTCTGTTGCAGTAGTAGACATTTTTGTTCCATTGATCGGCTATACCAATTAGCTTTCACTCTTAAATCTTTGCAGGACTGAGAGTTTGATATGGCCCACTTGTGTGTATATATGCATCACATTTCTGACAAAGTAACAAATGTTATGATTTGTAGGTTGAAGCCAGCTTCATACTTCATTCATGTCTCCCACGTAACTTCATAACATAGCCTCTACTTCGTAATGCCCACTTATAAGGAAACTAAAACGTGTGGGGGAAAATACGTGGTTGAATACTAATGCGAAAATTGCATATTGTGGTTGAATTGAGGAGTCATACATATTCAATGCAAAAGCATGATTTTTGGGTCTGAGGAAAGTAGCGTTATATGTGTCAACTTGAAAGCCACAATATATGTTGTTCTTGGTATGATTTCTGTTGTTCTGAGGCTGTTTCTGTTATTAATTTTTTGAGAACTTGTTTAAAGCATTTTCAAAACTCTTTCATTTCAAAGACTGAGGAGGTATGGATTTTTTAAAGTTCACAAAACAGACACTTTGGACACTTTCTTAAAGACACTTACTTGAAGTCACATGTCTGAAACTAAACTTGAACTTGTTTTACTCGATTACTTTGCTACAGGTTGACGAAGTCGTTAAGCAGGCATATGGTTACTTCCCATTATTGCTCAAGATATTGAATACAAGAGCAAGATGATTATGATGGAGCTGAATGTAATGTTAGTTAGGCCCTGCTAGTCAGAACAATGTGATTGCACTAGATAGTTGCAGGGGAGATTCATCAGGATGTTGCCTCCGCTGGAGTAATTCAGCTATTATGAGAGACAAGATAGGCTGGGATTTTCATTATAGCAGAGAAGCTGAGGGAAAATCTAATTGATGTGTACAAAGTATAAAGTACAAGGTAGATAGGGAATTACTTTTCTGCTTAGTTAAGAGGTCATAGACAGGTTAGGAAGAAAACTTTGTTCACCTAGAGGATTGTGGGTGTCTGGAACTCACTGTCTAAAGGCGGTAAAGGTAGGAACCCTTGACACTTAAGAACTATTTTGGTGAGCACTTGAAGCACCATTGCATATAAGTCTATGGGTGAAATGCTGGAAAATAGGATTGGAATATATCAATGTTTGATGACTGGCATGGACGTGATGGGCTGAAGGGCCTTTTTCCATGCTGTAAAAAGTCTTGAGTCACAGGTCTGAGTTTCTTTGTAAATCAACTTTTCAGAGATGTTATGACACACCTCTGGCGTATGTAGGATGTGAGCCCAGGTCTCTTAGTCTAGAGATAAGGGCACTGCCACTGCACCTCAAGAGCCCTCATGTCTGAGTTTATGGCTGTTGGGAATTGTGGCTGTCTGATTATTATTTGAAATTTGGTTGATGTTTAACTTGTTGAGAGAAGTCACTCAACCTAATCTCTTCCACTTGCTTGAAAGGTATGTTGATAATCAGAGGGAGAGCTTGAAAACTGATACAGCTGTTCTTCTGAAGTTTTTGGAAGGATTCTTCTCTATATGTCCTGAATAAACTGCTTCTGAAAAGGTCTTAGTGACAAGTGCGTGTGTCTGGTAGTGCGCCATCTACTCATAGCAGGGCACCAGACCAAAAGCTACCTGGAACATTTCATATCTTATACTTTTGATAAATAATTGTTAATTCATATCTCTTTATTTTTATTCTGTACAATTGCTCTCATGTGCTCTTCTTTGGTGTGATATTGCATCTGTCTTCAAAGAGGATGGTGCCAGAGTACTCATTTAATATCTCAGCTACACCATCTGTCTCATCATTCCTTTTTGTTTTCTAATTACACATCCTTAGTTGTCTTTGATCTCAGTGTTGTTTGATCCGAGACAACAGTCCTTGCTGGTGCACTGTGTCCTCTCCATGAACCAGTTCTGTGGGTCTTTGCTGACTTGATTTCACCCCATTCTACTTGTGCCAAAATATGCAGCGTGTCTTGAGCAACAGCTTCTGAGTCCAGTCCCAAATGGTTGCCTCTGGAGTATACTCTTTTTTTTCAGTCTGCATGTGTAATCCCTTAGTGACAAATACAGGCAAAGAATCATTTTTCTGACTTATGCTGATCATGCCCACATTTACCATTTTATCCTTAACACCACAACCATAATGTTGGCAAAGATATTCAGTTATGAACTAGCAGAACTTCCTTATGTTGAGCAGTGAGTTGACTGAATTCACCAAATGGCATTTAATAACGTTTCCTGGTAGCTTGCTCAATCTGAATCAGATAGTGTGTAACATTGCTATGGATTGCATGATGTTCAGCACCATTCACGACTCCTCAGATACTGAAGCAGTCCATGATCAAATGCAAAAGATCTGGACAATATTCCAGGCTTGGGATGACAAGTGGCAAGTAACATACACACCACACAAATGTCAGGCAATGACCGTCACCAGTAAGAGACAATCTAATCACCGCCCCTTGACATTCAATGGTG